GGCTCCAGGTTCTGAGCTGTCAGCACAGAGCCCGAGGCGGGGCTCGAACTCACAGACCGCGAGATCGTGACCTAAGCTGAAGTCGGACACTCAACCGACTGAGCCACCCAGGCGCCCCATGGAGGGAGCTGTTTTTTAATTTAGGCAAGGGGGTGGAGGGGACGCTCAAGTTGGTTGAGTAGAAAAAAAGGCATTTCCACCTTGGGCATTAACCAACAAAAAGTAGTAGGGTGTGATAAGACAAAAAATATTTAAGTGTTCTAAGAAACGTGATAGTGATAGTAGGTTAAATATTATACTACACAAATTTCTGTGGTAAGCAAGTATAATTTCCTGCATGGATTATCAGCAACAGTGTCAAGGGTAAAGGCAATACCATCTTTGCAATCAAAGTATCATCTCAAAGGAGAGCTTACCTTGGGGAAAAAACATAAAATTATTCAAGTTCATGACAACAGGACACAAAGCAGTTATAAATCCTGTAAGACAATGCCATTAGCCCCAATACGCCTACTGTTTATTTTCTTCAAGGTAACTATTTTTTTTTTTTTAATTTTTTTTTTCAACGTTTATTTATTTTTGGGACAGAGAGAGACAGAGCATGAACGGGGGAGGGGCAGAGAGAGAGGGAGACACAGAATCGGAAACAGGCTCCAGGCTCTGAGCCATCAGCCCAGAGCCTGACGCGGGGCTCGAACTCACGGACCGCGAGATCGTGACCTGGCTGAAGTCGGACGCTTAACCGACTGCGCCACCCAGGCGCCCCTCAAGGTAACTATTAAATATTTTTTCAGCTTTACCTTTATCTAAATAATAAGATATAAAGGTTAACTCAGTGTATTGTATTGCTGAAGTTCAATATTTCCCAATATCTGAAATTCCTGTGATTATAAACCTGTGTCCATTGATTCCACTTTAATCTTACAGAATAATTATGCGGAACTTACCATTTTTACTTCTCCACTGAACACAAGTCTTCTCCGTGAGCCTTTCCTACTTTGGGCGCACTGCGTTTGCACTTTCCGTTCCTGCTATGTGAATCTCATCTATTTGCCCTTCCTTAATTCACATCCTGTCTCGAACGCCTCCCTGCCCACCACGCGCTCGTGTAGCAAAGATAGCTTAGATAATCCCTGTACTCTGTACAGGTGATTGCTGTAATATTTGTTAATTCTACACTTTTTCTCTCACTGTGTTAGTTTTGCTTTTCCTGTGATAGGACATAAGCAAATTGGGGGTAGCCACTGTGTTGTAGATCTTGGTAAGCACACACCTAGCACATGGTGACCTGCACATAGTAGGCGCGCAGGTGTTTTTCTAAATAACTGAATCGGTGTTATGCTCGCTGCTACCCCAGGAAGCACCAAACTGTCACAAAGTAGGCGGAGCAGGCCCTCTTATTTAACAAACAAATGGATTAGTAGCTATGTGTGGCTAAATGCAGAACTTCTAGGAAAGTTCAAAAAATTTCCTAATATTAGAAGCTATTAGGAAATTATTGTTAATCTCGTTAGTTGTGATGATTGTGGTTAGGTAGAAAACATGTCCTTCTTGTTAGAAATGAATACTGAAGTATTTACAGTGAAATACCATGATGCATATGACGTTTACTTTAAAATACTTTAACAACAAAATGGATGAAGCAATATGGCAAAATAATTATTGTTAAATTTAGTTATATGTATATGCTAGTCTATTCCAGCCCTTCAAACGTAACCGGTAAGATGAGAAGAATGGATAATCATCTAGAAAGTAATGTGATTGTCCTTAGGTAAATTAATAACAAGTGACACAACTCTTATATGAGAATATGACATGCTTGAGGTAGTACAATATGGCGTAATTTACAAGTAACTTAAGGGGCACCTGGGTGGCTTAGTTGGTTCAGCATGGGACTCTTGCTGAAATTTTGGCTTAGGTCATGATCCCAGGGTCATGAGACCAAGTCCCGAGTCAGGCTCTGTGTTGAGCGTGGAACCTGCTTAAGATTCTCTCTCTCTCTCTCTCTCTCTCTCTCTCTCTCTCTCTCTCTCTCCTCAGGGGTGGCCTGAGTGGTCTAGTCGCTTAAGTGGACCACCAGCTCAGGTCATGATCTTGCGGGTCCCGAGTTCAAGCCCCACCTCGGGCTCTGTGCTGACGGCTCAGAGCCTGGAGCCTGCTTTGGATTCTGTGTCCCCTCTCTCTCTGCTCCTCCCCCGGCTTCATGGTCTCTCTCCTGCCTCTCAAAATAAAATGTTGGGGCTTGGTGGCGAGTTGGTTGTTGCCCAGCCAGGTCACGATCTCAAGGTCTGAGTTCGAATGTCGGCTCTGGGCTGATGGCTCAGGAGCCTGTTTGTTTCTGATCTCAGGTCTCCCTCTCTGCCCTCCCTATTCATGTTTTGGTCTCTCTCTGTCCCAAAAATAAATAACTGAAAAGTTTTTTTAAATGAAAATGGCTAAAGAAATTAACTTCATGGCCTCCTGCTTCACGCCACTCTCTAAATAAATAAATAAGTAAATAAAAAAAATGTTTCAGAATTAGAGAACCAAATGATAGCATTATTAAGTACTTATGAGATGCAGGAAAATAATCTCCTATTTAGAAATAAATATTTATATTTAAGAATATAAATTTCAAGTACTACATGAGACAAAAATGCAATCCATTATTTATTTCCATTAGGAAAAGAATTTTTCTTTATGAGCATCTTCTTGAATTTTTTTCTTTGCTATAAATCAATGCGCCCAATTTGAATATTTAGAATAAATATAAATAAATTAATCTTAATATTACAAAAGAATAAGATTTAGGATTTGGCTATGAACACCCCCTACTTCAGAAATATAGACTCTTATGTTAATGTTGTAATATACTTTTAAAGACATTAAGTCAATGAAGATACCTTTCAACCTTTCACAGGGGTCTTTCTCCAAAAAAAAAAAAAAAAAAAAGATTGTTTTTAAACAAAATTATAGCCAAAGAATTACTTCTTCATTCTGTGTTCCCCCATTTCCACCAACTAACCCCAGAAAAATCAATGCTCTTGGGTCATTAGCATGTTTTTCCTTTAAAAAATTTTGCCAACGCCTTCAGCCTCATCATAATGGAATAAGAAAACAGGACAATGCCTAATAGTCAAGAGTTATTTTACAATACGGTTCATCTCTCTTTGGCAAGTCTACTCAGAAGAGACTTCCGGTTTTTTGTTTTCAATATCCAATCACTGTTTTTAGTATTTAATTTTCTTTGTAAACAAAAGTAACATTACACATCTAGTGAAAAAACTCACTTATTTCCTTCACATTCACGTTCACGTTCTAAGCATGAACAAACCTCTGCACTTTCCTACGCTTTAAGGAAAGTAATCACTCTAAATCTTGCAAGTGGTTCTATTTTCAAGAGGTTTAGGACAGACTTGCTCCATTGATTTTCCTACGCCCCGTAAAGACAGTGATAACATGAAAAACGACGAGCACTATTACATTTATTGTGTCCATTCCTCCACAAGGTTCTAAGAAACTAGAAATATTCTGCACACTTGTGTATATTTTCTTCTGATCTCTTCTTCGGCTAAGTCAGCTAGCCAATGGTTACTAGCGTCATAAGCAAAACTGTCAATGTTATACATGTGTGTCCTGAAAGTTAAAAAAGAAAATTAAAATCAAAATAATTTTATTGACTGATGATACACATTAATCTTTTGGTTATTATGTGATAAACGATGAAAATTAATCCGTTAATGTAGCATGCAAAACAAATGGAAATTAGTAAGTTATCCAACCTCAGCCAGGGTAGACTTTAGTATTTAGTTGCTATAGCAACACCAACTAAACTAGGATACCTGAGTTTTTTAGTTTCTTGAAAATAAGCAGTCAAATTAGACTCAATGAAGATACTTTCAGAATAAAAGTCAATGAAAACCCCTGCTACATGTGCAATAGAGGAAAGTTTCGTCAAAAGACACCTAGAAAAAGACACCCAGAAAATTTCACAGATACGTTTATATTATGGTATTTTTGCATCATAATTTTGTGTAATATAAAAGGGCTATAAGATCTATAAACGTGACTTATGAAAGATACCGTAAAACCAATTTTAATATTTCCTACACACTGGAAATTCTAAAAGCCACCAACCAAACCGGAGAAATACAAATACAAATACACTAGAAGCCAATCATCTCACGATGCAAACAGTCATAAGAAAGGCATTCCTATTTGTAAGTCCTAATGCATCCACCTTTTGTTTGACGAGATATTTGCGGTTTTGCTAGCATCCAGTCATTACAATAAGTTGAGTGCAAAACCCAAGGCGAGACGACGAACACAGAAGGGAGGACACGGCACGCGAATGAGAGACTCAATGAGTTAGTCACTCAATAATGAAAACCAATTCTGACAAGTCCTTGAACAGTCACAGGTTAAGTCCCGCCCCAGTGTACTGATGGACATTCTGCAAGACACAGAGATGCGACTTTATAAAACCATATACCTTTTAGAACTGACCAGAGGTTTGACTTCTGAGGTATCACCAATCATGGTGAAATTACGAAAGACAACTGCATGCTTTTCTGTTTTCATGTATGTAATAAGAGCTGAGTAGTGGAGAAGGAAAACACCAATTGAATTATAGAATGGTAATTTCAACCGAAAAGCAAGATCAGCATTCCCTTACAACTGGGTCCCTCTTTTGAACTAAAACTCATCACCCAAACCCAACATTTCTAAAAAGAAGTAAGCAAATCCTTTGATAGGCAAACATGAAGGATCACCAGGCGAAGGTACATTATCACCTTCATACTCATTAACCCTTTTCCCAGTCCCTATTAAGATCCAATGTTTAATTAAATCAGTATGAGATCTGGAGTGTAACCAGGAATGTATGAACTTTGCTCTTACCTTCAACAGCTTATACTTGCAAAACTAGGCAAGTGGAGTGTTTTTTTAAGGGCACTTGAAAAAGGCAAATTCCTCCTCAGGGGTTTGCGCGAATTTCTCTGATTCAGAAATAGGGGAACTAGGTTTATTGCAAAACCCCGGTGAAATTCAAAACAGGTATTTTCTCCTTCTATGTCTCAGCACTTTTCATCCTATTAAAACCATCATGGTTGATTATTTTACTAAAGTAGGTAAAGAAACTGAAGCAGCCCAGAGAGCGCCCAATACACTCCACCTTCCCTTCCACCCCTCTCACCTACCAAGCACTGGCTTTGGAAGGCAAACTGATAATGCTCTAATTCAAGAGGAGAGCTGGAATGAGGGCAAAGAAGTACAGAAGATGGGCAGTCTACTGTTTTTGCCACAGTAGTTTTGCTAAAGCATCTGTACCAATGCAACTCACTTAGTAGGTCTTAGAATTCTGTATGTTTTTGGTGAACTCTAAACCACGTTCTTAAAAAGCTTCTGAAAAATCTGAACTCTTTTACTACATTTGCTATTATAGCAATAAAACATACATACATACATATATATGTGTATATATATACACATATGTATATATATATACATATATATATAATATATATATATATATCTAGAATACTTTATTGGCAGTAAACAAATAGCTGTAAAAACTATTTTAAAAACCCACAAAGCCCAGGACCCAGTGGTTAGATAATTTTACCAGAAGACTGAACCATTCAGTGTTTTAAAGAACATTTACATAATTTAGCTTATAATAGGCTTAAATCATATTGTTAATTTAAGGAGAAAGGTAAGAGTTACAGAGGGTAAAAAGTAGATAGCTCACATCAACCCCCAAATTAAAACAAGCCATTTAGTAACAGCATTAAAATATAGTTGTTTTGAGGGGCCTGGTTGCTCCGTCGGCTAAGCATCCGACTCTTGATTTTGGCTCAGGTCA